TACCAATGCTTATGCGTTAGACAGCGACGCGGCGCTTACGCGCTTTATATTTTGTCCCTATGTAGTTAAAGCAGTACGATTGCTTTGAAAAAAAAGTTCAGATCTTCCACAATATGTCAAAATAAAGAAAAAAAAATTTTTTTCAAAAAAAACAAATTTTTTTAAAAAAAAAATTTTTAAAAAAAAATTTTTTTTTTCAAAATAAAACTAATTTTTTGTCCAATTTATAGTTTCTCAAAAATCTTATTTTTTCAAAGTAATTTTTTTTCAAAAATGTTAATCGTTTTAAAAAAAAAATAATAATTTTTGGTACGGGAAGTTCCAGCAATTTGCCTTAAGGCACGATGCCCTAATTGCCTTAAAACAGAATTCCACTTACAGCTAGTTTTATAAAAAATCTGATTTAAATCTTACTCCTCAGCACATTTCCAGTAAATATTTATATTTTATACCAAATTATACGCCTAGTCTGAATTATATGATTAAATGATTGTTAACTTAATTTTGTTCAGACATATACAAAGTTTATTATTATATATCATTCAATAGGAATGACTTCATTTTTTACGCTAATTGTATGATAAATGACTATTATTATCAAACAATAAAACCTACGTTGTAGCCTTGACATCCTAGTTACTACATAAAATACACCCATACAATTATTCTCGTAAATAATAGATTGTTTTCTCATTGTTATTCACCACAAACGTTAGAGCATACTTAATATGAACGTAAACACTGATTATTCAAAATCGATCGAAGAGTTATTAATTAATTATTGTAACAGGTAAAAATAAAGGTTGAAGTGTTTATTAACAAAGTTCCCACAATTATATTACACACAATTAAAAAAATAAGATTTTATAGTATATAAATATAATATATAATATAAGATATTAAAAATTATCGTTCAATACTGTATATTCATTAGCATTCACATTCCTAAAAATAAAATATAAAAAAATGTGTTTATTCAAAAAAATATAATCATAATAAAAAATCGACGATAACTATATTCCTAAATGAAAGAATATATAATTTTTTGATGAAATTAGCATTTCTGTTAATGTCTGTTAAGTACAGTTAATTTTCAGTAAGTATATTAGTGACAGTATACTAGAAAATAATTTAAGGGTGATAAAAGCAACTACTTTAATTTTCATTAATTAATTTTAATTTGCATTCTCCTTCACCTTGATAAAAATATAAGAAGCCATAATCGCTCCCTTTCGCAAATACCTTTATTTATAGATTCTGTAATCTTATTATAAATCAGAGATAACCATATCAAACGCACGATTGTTCATAGCATCGCAGCTACTTTTTGCATATATGTAAAAATATATTTTTATATTTATATATATTAAAGCAATTTGTAATCGAAAAAACGAAGAAAATTATTTTTACGAAAAGAGCATTTTTGAAAATTTTAATTCTATTCAAAAATTATTATTTGGTATCTTGCAGATTAGGTTTGGGCAAAGATATTCGACAAAATGTATAATAATAATAGTCTTTTAGGAATTGAATAATTAGTAATAATAATTGAATCTGAGTAGCATCTATTTAGAATAAACTTATAATCGAAAGCCAGATTAATGAATGTGAGATTTCCAAACCCTCCCAAATGGATTTATTGGTGAGTGCTAAATTAATTTAATTTTGTGTCTTGATTTTATGAAACTTGATATTACGTCTTCGTTTAGAGCATCTTCAAAAGTTGAGGTCCTGTATATTCAATAATTCGCAGAAATTATTAAAAAGTTTAGAAGCTTTTCTGAAAAAAAAGAGCAGTATCAGAGACGAAGAAAAATATTTCACAGCTAAGTAATACTCAGTTATAGCCAAAAATTGCTGTATTTGTAAGATATCACATATAATTAGTAACAATAGATATTTATAATATGAAGGAGATGGTACCACTGTATTTCTTGAAGTTAAAATTTATATATTCAGAAATGTCATAAAAAATGTTGGCTTTTAGTAAATTAATCAAAACGTTGTGGAATTTATGATTGTTTAGTTGACGTATTTGTAAAGGTAATAAATTGAACAGTTGAATACCAAAACCATCAATTGAATTAAAAGTACTATTAAGATGCTGAAAAACCCCAAAATTGAATGCCGTAGACCAAATACGAGTAGAAGCAAGAGTAATAGATAGAAAGGAGACAATTTAAACTAATTTTAGATTTAAGCACTCTTAACATGAGATCTAGTAAAAAAATTGTGAAGGTCAAAAATGTTTATTGGACATATGCACATCAAATTATTAGATATTTTATGGAGATTTTAATAATGTGTATTGATATTGTTTACATTTCTATGAGTTTTGTAACATCGTTTGTCCGTTAGACGAAGTCGCGGCGCCTACGCGCTTCGATAGCGTCTCTATGCAGCTAAAGCAGTGCGATTGCTTTGAGAAAAAAAGTTCAAAATTTTCAAAATATTTCAAACAGAAAAAACTATTCTTTTCCATAAGTTTTTTTTTCCAAAAAAGTAATTGTTTTTCAAAAATTTAAAATTTCTCAAAAATCTAATTTTTTCAAAGTTTAAAACATATTTGATCTTTTTTTAAAAATCTAATTTTTGGTACGGGAAGTTTCAGCAATTTGTCTTAGGGCACGATGCCATGCATCCCTAGTTACATTTTCCATTGTAAATCAATATTTGACTCCATCAAGATGCATTCGGGGCGTACGTGACACCAGGTGCGTGATTCATCACGGTGCATTAAAAGCAAGTCGGTTAATCTTTTCGAAAGCACAAACCTATCAGTTTTCTATCATCAATACAATAGTTGGAGAGCGTCGAATCAGCCGCATCCATGTGCGTCAAACGGCTGGCGTTATCGAACTGCTAAGTGAAGAGAGCTCCGCGCCGCGCCGCGCGCCGGCTCTTGCGTCAGCGTACAACAGCGGTTTCCAACCTTTTCTTCCTTGCGCCCCCCTTTCGAATGATAAAAATGTTGCGACCCCCCATTCTTATTTTTCTAACAATAGAATTTAAATATACTTAATATAACTGAAATTATGCCAAATAATACACAGTATTATAAAAATATACATACAAACATAACTATCTTCTATATATATAAAAATAAGTCGGGTTTTTCTTCCTGACGAAATAACTCCACAACGCACGAACCGATTTCGACAATTTTGCATTCGTTGGAAAAGTCTCGGGTTCCGCAAGGTTTATACCTAAGAAAATTAGTTGTGCATGGCATTGTGCCTTAATGCAACCTGCTGGAACTTCACGCACCGTAATTAAAAATTCGAGTAATGACATTAGTGAGAGTTATCAGAATTATGCTTGGTTAAGTCAACGAGCAATTCTTGCCGCAAAGAATAATGATGTACACGCACTGAATTTCACCATTCAATCAAAAATTGCTTGCGATTTGGTGACATACCAATGATTCCGACTGGTCTTCCGTTTGACTTCAAACGATTGCAATTTCCAGTTCGCCTTGCGTTCGCAATGACAATTAACAAGTCGCAAAGCCTATCGCTTAGTGTTTGCGGGATAAATTTCGAATAGATTATTTAGAAAATCATTGTTTTTCACATGGGCAGTTATACGTTGCCTGTTCACGAGTTGGAAAACCATCCGCTTTGTTTGTGTTAACGTCAGACCAAAAAACAAAAAATGTGGTTTACCAAAGATCACTTCCATAAATCGATAATTTGCGGATTCACTTTCATTTACTTAGAGAAGTTCAACTAAAAAACGCTTCATTTTTGTAATCAAAATAAATTCGTTACTGTTGTATAATCAAATTTTTCCTTTTAAAATATAAAACAAACAAAAATTTTCTTCATCTTTCTCGCGAAACCATCTGGTGGCGAAACGGAGTTCGTCGGGTTTGCTAGTTTATTATAAGAATTTTCTGTTTCACGTAAGTAAGATCTCACAAATGGTAATAAAATTTCTAAAGCATTATTTGCCAAAGTAGGAAAATCGTCCTTTACTGGTAACCAAAACTTAACAATATATTTTCGTTCCGAAACATCTGCGTCAATGTGCTATCACTAGATAAATCAATTATCATTTTCTGCTCTGCTGTTGAATGACAAAAATCATCATGTTTCTCAATGACAAATGGATTTCTAATCCATTCGTATTTGGACGTAATTAGATAAAGTAATGCGAAAGTTGGTTTCGTAGACTAGTCATATGACTGATATAATAATAAGATCTTTACTTACTTCTATTTCATCAGTAACACAAGTAATTTTAAAAGTGGGAAACATGTTAAAGTTATAAAGTTATTTGATACTAGCTACACACAGTTCTAATTTTTTTTATTAAAACTGTAATCTTGTCTTTCTGAACAAAAGCACAAATTTGAGATCCTTGCATTGATTTAATTAAATCACTAAGTCTTTGAAAAATATCAACTAAATACGCAAATTTTGCGAGGAACTTTGTGTCCTAAAACAAGATTGCTCCGTCTCATTTGTTATCAGCAAGAAATATAGCAATTTCTTTTTTGAGTTCAAACACTCTTAGAAGTACTTTAAGTATTTTGCTGATTTGTTTTTGACACTTACTCAGCATTTAAAAATAATATTTTTGAAACAGTTTTGCGCCCCCGCCTGGAACGGTATGGCGCCCCCCCCAGGGGGGCCTGCCCCACAGGTTGAAAATCACTGGCGTACACGTTAACGAAGCCCGTCCGTAGTATACAGTAAAGTAATACACCGCTGTTTCGCGCAGTATTCAACCGGCTTCCGAAGCCGATGCAAGGAAACGGACTTGCGTTCGCGGTGATAAGAAAAATTTTGAAAACAACGAACAAACTAGGAACAATGATAAGAAAAATTTTTTTTTCCTAAACCACGCGGTGATTGATAGTTAGCACTTAGCGTCGTACAAATTATTTATATGAAATGACAATTTGTAAAAAATAATGTTTATAACGCTTTCGTATGTTTTATATAATAGTTCTAAACTAGATTGTAAGTTTAACCAAAATTCCACCAACTTGGTATGCGCTGATAACGATTACCGTTCCAAGTTTTGGGTTATGAAGGGTTAAAGACCGTGAACTAGCGATTGCACGCCGAGTGTTGTGTTTGTATGACATATGTATCCAACTAAATTTTGTGATGTTCCAACCCAGTGTTTCTATTACTACTATTATTCTTAACTGAATCCTTTATGTGTCGTTTATGTGTCGTGCAGTGTCTGTGCTACGAGGCGTAGTGGTAACATCGCGTCGTTCTATGGTTGTGCGATTGTATAATTCAACCTCGTGACGATATCGATCGCCGGCGAATCGATTCAGACGATGTGCGAGTCACGGGAAAGGGCAGTGACCAAGGGTCCCATCCGGGTCGGTTTCTACGACATCGAAAGGACCATCGGCAAAGGGAATTTCGCCGTCGTCAAACTGGCTAGACATCGTATCACCAAAACAGAGGTTCGATTTGTGTTTATTTACTCATTTGGTTATTCTAATGAATCTTACAGGAAGTACTGATATATATCTTACTTATATTAAAAAGAATTATGTGCATCAAGTATATAATTTATTCTAGTCTTGTTGCACCTGAGATTATCTTTATTTATTTGCAACATTGTATTTTTTCTAATAAAGAAACTTCGCATTTATTATGGATTTCTAGCTGTTAAAATTAGAGAACAAACTAGTTGTAAGTAACATTTTGCCTTAGGGCAAATTGCATGAACTTCTAGATACGTACACATAATAAAGTTAATCAATAAGAATTGAGATTCAGCTATTTAGATGAAATATTCAACTGTTTAATTGATGTCTTTCAAACATCTTATAATATATGTAATTGTATAAATTAAATTAATTTGTTAAACAAATTTCTTTTCATCTATTTCGTGTTCTTAAAATGTATTTTATCGAAATGTGGATGTCAACTGCGATCAGTAGTAAATTATTCAACTGTTTATCTCAAAAATCAATACGATTTCCAATTGATGTCTTTGAAACATACTTATAATATCTGTAAGTATATAAATTAAATTAATTTGTTCAACAAATTTCATTTTATCCATTTTATTTTCTTAAAATGTATTTTATTGTGGACGTCAATTGTAATCAGTAGCTACCTACGAAACACGGAACGTACATAGAGTCAGCATAGATTCTGATTAGAATTGCGTCAGCTCGCAGCGAAATTCTGAACTTAAATGAATGTTTATAATTCCACAGCTAAATGTAGGCCTTTAATACTTTAGTATGTTATTTCAAACTACGAAATTCATCGTTATATACAGTTTCATCAGAATCGTCAAATTTCTACAATTATTTACTAAAAATAGTCGATCTTTACCAAAAACTAATCAAAACGATTCCCAACTCATATCGACCAGTTTATGAATTTTTTAAATTGATTCAAAATTGTGGGCTGAAACGTAAAAAAAAAAATTACACTTTAGTGCCAATTACTAAGAAACAGCTTGGCCGATCCTCGCACAAAACTGACCAAAGCCAGCTCTTATCGAATTACATCGAATGGCTATTAATTTTTTTAAATCAGTTCAGCCGTTTTTTTTAAAGAAAACGTCGACGAAAGGCCATACTGTTTCGAAATTTGGTCCCATTCGATTCAGAATGACTTAAAAAATTAGCAAATTGGTTTATTTCGCGAAAATATTTAAACAATTTCTCCTTCGTAAGTTTATAATAACTTTTAAATCTATTTTTTTATTGTAACACATTCTGGTTATCACATTATTTAGTATTAATAACAGTTCTCTATATTTGAATTGTGATAATCTTAAGATCTTCAAGATGAGATATGATAAGATTAAATTATATAAGTGCAGAAATTGACTAGTTTCTTATCATAATTATTTCACAATTACATTGCAAATATTTATGATAAAAAACGAGCCTTCTTTTTACTTTTATTCGTATCAAATTTATTTCTGATATGAGTATGTATAACAAAATAATAATGGAACATAATTGATCATTTTAGCTTAGACTTCATCATTTCTTTGTACATATATATATATATATATATATATATATAATATTTTTATGATTTTAAATTAAAAAGATAGTAAAGGAATGAAATGATAGTAAACGTTAAACAGTAATAGAATAAGAATGATAAACCCTGAAATATGAGGAACCAAACTTTATAAAATATAATAAAAATAGCGAAACCACAAAACTTTTGTTTTCCAATAATATTTTTAAGTGTAGACGATATCAAAACACTTCTCTATATGTTTCAAATCGAACTAAACATTATTCAAATACTACATAAAAAATAGAGGCTACATACACAAATTAATAAGTAAAAATATTTATTATTCTTCAACATTTTTTCCTAGGCTTAGAATTACTAATTTGTGATAGGTCAGTATTTATTAAAATCGCTTATGTCAACTGTTTGTTTGCATTTGTAAAACTAATTAACAAACAACGCTCGATCAATGTTATTTGTACGACGTTTGTTCGTGGTTATTATTTGATTTAAAGAAATATTAAACAAAAGTAAGAACACAATGGATTAAAGCTACATGTATGCAATTACCTCTATATAAATTATATTTATGTATTTTTAAAATTTTTTAAATCGAAACAATTGACGTCCTTGGGTAACAGAAACATGAATTATTTTATGAAAAAAGAATATCAGAATTAGGTTTATTTGGTTGTTGAATAAGATTATTTTTTCTATTATTGCTATAAAAATTACAATCTGTCTATTACAATTTAGAGGGCGTCCATTATTCACGTGAGGTTTTCAGGGGGAGGAGGGGGTTTGACAAAAAATCACAAAATATTACATGGGGAAGAAAGGGATATAGTTATCACTATGCCTTTACCTGACTTTTTTAAAAAAAAAATCCAAACATTTTAAAAAACAATAAAAAAATTTACAATTTTTTCTCGTAACTCAAAATACACGTGATGTTTGGTGGGGGAGGGGAGGTAATTTTGAATATCACCACGCATCACCAAGGGGGAGAGGAAGGTCTAAAAATTCTTAAAAAATCCCCGAAATATATACAATATTTGATAAATGTTACAGATCAAATAGTTTACAATTTAGGGCACAATCGTACCCTACTAGTTCTTAATTTGGATACATCGTTCTGAGTTCAATTGTACATATAAATTATATTGCATAATAAATAAATATCTCTAAATTTATTGACAATAAAATGATCAAGTAATGGTAAATAAACATTTCCATTGCAATCATATATCATGGTTTCATTTTATCTTTTTTGTCGACCTTTCAGTTAATCGGATTTACCTAGATGAACCTACATTTTGGTTATTTTCGCCAAGTCAGTGGGTTTCGTGACATTTACTTCACATAAACCTGTCGTTTGCACGATAATAAATGTCAATGGATAGGTGTACCTTCTTGCCAATGCTAATTCCCTAAAATCATTTCTTGTGATATAGAGAAAGCTTTCAGACTGTCTGGTGAAGTAAGTAATGAAGTAAAGAATTAGTGAACAAGTTTCTCGAGAGTTTCTTGTTATCGAACCCGAATCAAATTTTGTGCGATATGTTGGTCACGTAAGACGTAATTAATGGACAAAGAAAATTAACTAACTAGTTGTAATCTAAGTTTAATTAACAATTTGTTAGATAAATAAAAATTAATAATATTTGATAAATTTTATGCAAAAGTTATACTTATCAAGACGGCAAGGTGGCATGCTAGTGGAAAAAATATGAAAAATATGAAAGGGTCTTTATAATAGTTCTTTTTTTTTGATCAGTAATAATTTTATTAGTTTAACAGTTGGCTGGGAGAAAAGCAAAATAAATGGTGAACTGAACATTGTCTACTAGGAAATACTGAAAAATACGATGGATTAGTCCGAAGCCATATAAAACAATAGCTATAAACAACAAAATGCTACAAATATATAATTTTGATGTTATAAATAGTTATATTAACTTTAATAGCATTTTCTGTGATTTAATAAATAACACATTTGGAACATACACGAACATGCTAGTTTTTACTGTGACAATTAAACCCACTTTTTATATATTAAACAAGTCTCATAAGTACACTTCCCATTAAATTAGCCGGCAAAACTTTTTACGATCTACACGTACAACATTTGCAAACAACAGGTGTTACAAAAAATTCAGCTGTTTGTTAAAAAGTTCTACCTGTTTTCGACCAAAAAAATATTTATTTATATTTTTAACATTTTAATGCAATTCTCTGTAACTTGACATTATAACAGGTAATTGCATCATGCGTCATTTCTAAGGATGGGAATTTTTTAAAGTAATGTTTTTGTTAACAAGAAAAATATCTTGTTCAACAATACAATTGCATGAGAGAATTCGTTTGAACGTGATGTCATTAAATGGTTAGTGTGGACTCGTTTGTATTGTGTACATTTTTTTAATTGCTTCAGTTGTTCACATCGATTTCAAGAAAAAATAGAAGGCAATTTTAAAATTACACATTGCAGAGAGGTCAAATGATTTACAACATCTGCTATTTTAATTATTTACGGAATAAATTATTAAGAAATGAAAACGATCTTATGCAATAGTAAAATGTTGTAAAAATAGAAAGAACATGTGTATTCTAGTCTACAACGATTGGTATATAAAATTTTATATTTAAGTATTAAATCAAATCATATTGTGAAATAAGAAATTAATATAGATAAACATAAATGTAAGATTTCGTCTTTGAAATCCGATAAATGCAAATTTTATTGGTCCTCTATTACTTTTCTGTCTGCCTAGATGTCTGTCTCTATGTCTGCAGTGTATTACTGAACTTGTGAGAGTAAAACTTTTGTACGGTATCGAGATTTTCCGAAGTAATCGTAATAAAAATATTCATATAATAAATATATTTATATAATAATATGTAGTCAAAAAGGACGCACCTGCATAGTTCTGTATATTGAATTGACCTGCGGGCTAGTACCTAGGACAATATTATGCAGGTCGGTTTACATATCCAATCGAGACAAAAAATATTTTAGTATCGATCAAGATCCCATTATCCTACCAAGAATAAGCCCCTAGTTCTTCTAATCACTACTTCTCCCCATCATTACGATTCGAATGTTTTTTGGATCATTCAAATCGGTTGATCCTTTCTCTTAAAAACTGCCTTTGCCAAAAACTAATCAGCACATCTATCTATCAATAGAAATCGATTGCTTTTTGAACTTTTCAAATCGGCTCATCCATACGCCCGAAATCGTCGACGAAAAATTGTCTCCACATATACACACACAAACACACAGAAACATTCAGAAACCTCTGAAACATGAAGATATGCAAAAAAAATCATTTTTGAATTTTGGCCCTTTACTATAACTTACCCTACGGAAAGTTAATTAATTAACCTTTATATAAACCTGAGTGTTCCATGGCGTAACGGTTAAGCGCACTGCTTTAGGTCACAGTGATATAAGGGTCGTGAGTTT